CCTATAACAACTCACACTCTTCTTGAGAAAAAGAAAAAAAATCTATTTTGTGGCTAAATTTATATAATAAGGGTTACATTCTTTTTTTAAAAAAAATATATTTATTTTTACTGGAAAGGCTGATTTTTACAAACAGAAGAAAAGAAAGAAAGATATTCCATGCACTGGTTCACTCCCCAAATTCCCACAACAGCCAGAGCTAAGCAGATCCAGATTCAGGAGCCAGAAGCTTCCTCTATGTCTCCCGTCTGGGTGCAGGGTCCCAAGGCTTCGGCCTCCTTGGTTGCTTTCCGAGGTCATGAGCAGGGATCTGAACGGGAAGTGGCACAGCTGGAACATGAACCCATGCCCATATGGGATCCTGATACTTGCAATGAGAAGAACAGCCAATTGAGCCATTGTGCCCGGCCCAGATATTACATTCTAAAGATCAGGGGGAAAAAAGAAACAAAATCTATGCTTCAAATGTGTATTAAAAGGTGGTTCTGTCACAATTAGTTGTATTAGCTCAGCTCACTTATGGGTAAAATTACATGCTGCATCATGCATGTATTCCTACATCATTTATTACAAATTACAGAATTTATAACACAATCACTGTTATCCAGGTATTAGTGATCCCCTTATCTTTTCAAAACTTCCGACTGTTTCTTCTATGATTATATATTTCCCAAGCCACAATAATTAAAAAGCAGCATTGAGTCAAAGATAAACTTACAGCAAATATGAGCAATTCATGCATTTAGCTAGAATAATGATTAATATAATTATATCTTATATAATTGATATTTTCTTAAATTCCATGATTCAACCCATGATTAATAGTGCCAGTTATCTATTTCCACATCTGTGCAATTAATTATAAGTAGTACTTAATATTGTATGTGTGAATATAGTTATCTTTCTCCTGATTAGGGAAGGCAAACATAAATAAAACAGGAAGCAATAGGAATTTCTTGTCATTTTAAAACCAACTGGCCAAAAGTGAAATACAAGTGAAATTGCAACTGGTAGGGACAAACATACCATAGCTTATTTATATATCCCAGAAACTCCTTGTAGTTTTGTATCAACCTGCCTCTCCCAGTGGGACAAGGCTCTTCCTCCTTCCCCTTCCCATCTTCAGGAATCGCCTGTCTTCCGGTTGCTATGTGAGTCAGCACCACCGGATGTGGACAGCTTCCTGTTTTGTTAAGAGCAAAGTCCTCTACTCACAATCTGACACATAGCAGCAAAACCACAATGCAGACAACAGATGGGCCTTAAGGAATGAGGATAACTGAACAAAATATAACTGACCAAAACATCAATATTAAACAAAAAGTGTATGCTGCTCGTTGATGCAACTTGTATTTATCTTGGTCATTCCTAATAGCCATAATATAATAAAATAATTATGAAGCTAATAATGATATGGAATAATGTAATTTCCTTTCTTATTAGGTCTGATTTGCTTGGAGAAGCTTTGGTGGTATTCCACTCTATACCTGTGAGTAAACTTTGTATCACTCGCCAGTAGGTACCTTACTATGTGTACTATTCTTAGTAAAATGATAATACCAAATGTTTTTTTTTTTATATTAACAAACGCTACCACAGGACCTCTGGCTGATGGCCTCCAGTTACAGCACCTAGTCTATACACCACTTATTAAAAAACTTTAGCATACTCAACCTGCATTATTCGTGATTTTATGCAGTCCTAAAATTACCATTTAAATCAGTTCTAGTTCCAATTTATATTTAAAGACACAATTTAACAGTTGTGAACCATTAGAAGAAATATAACTAACAGGTAGTCAGGAGTAAAACAGGTCTTTAAAGCACTGAAGCCTTTGTAACTCCCACGGGGGCAATGCCCCACCTTACCAAAATGTGCACAGTAACAGTGTAACCATTAAAAAAAAAACCTTATTATCCATTATAAACTCATCTAAGGCAAGCCTGTTATCAAGATTTCTGAATATTATCAAACCTCGCTTGTTACCAGTGAGAGGTGTAACTGCACATGGAGTACACAGCCAGACCCAGGATATTCTCGGCTCCCATCCCTAAGATTTACTTATCTATTTGATAAGTAAAATCAGGTAGAATCAGAAGGACAGAATGAGAGATAGAGAGACTGATCCCCCATCTGATGGATCACTTTCCAAATGACCACAACAACCAGGGTTCTGCCAGAGAGAAGCCAGAAGCGTGGATATCCATTTTAGTCTCCCACATGGAAGGCAGGGATCCAAGACCTTGAACTCTTACATGCTGCATCCCCTGCAGGTTCAGCAGGGAGCTGCATCAGAAGCAGAATGCCCAGAACTGAATCAGTATGCATTCAGAATGACAGTGTCCCAAGCACAGCTTAACCTGCACATCACAATGCCAACTGCCAGCAACACAGATGCTATGCACAGCTCCTCAGCTAAGCTCTCGTTGACTCAGTTTCCTCACCTGTGTTACTGCAGAAGATTAAATGAGTTCATATGTGTAAGGTACTGAAAACCGTAAATGGCATACTTAGGCAGGTGATCGTTAAAATTGCTATTGAGGGCCAAGATGCTGACAAGGATGGCTAAGCCACCACTTGTGATGATGACAGCATCCCGTGGTGGAGCACCAGTTAAATTTCAGGCTGCTCTGCTTCCAACTCAGTATATTCACGAGTTTTTCCCCCATTTCTGTGAGTTCCTTACAAAGCAGTTTTACAAACATCGATACTTGGATCATGTCTTCAACCATCCCATCATGTCTGCATGTACCACGTAACTGGCAGTTTTTCACTGAATTTGCCCAAGAAACAGGGTTTGCTCTTACAGGAATTTATTAATATAATAACAGATTTTTTTTCCAGAGCAACTTTAGATTTACAGGAAAACTGAATGTAAAGTATAGAGTTCCCAAACACCCAGAAGTCCCCACATATAACTTTCCCCTATTAATCTTGTTGGATATTAATGGGGTACACCTGTTACAATTCATGAGCTAGTAAGTATATATTACTATTAAACTCAATATTTTCCAATGGACTTGAACTCAAAAACCTTAAGATAATTTTTTTGCCTTATAAAGTTAGTTGCGTCAGCTATTTTACCATGGCACAGAAAACCTAATATAAATAAAATCTCTAATTTCAACTTGTCAGTGACTTAAGAGTATTCAGCAAACTGTATGTAACTGTGTCTTACAATGCCCTCCTTCAACAGGAATTTCCATAAAAACCAATGCAATAAATCATTACACAATGCAATAAATCACTACACAATAACAGTATAATTTTATAAGTATTCTAAATAGCTTTAGGATTTGCCTTGTTCTGAAAGAATATGTAAATCCAGAAACCCATAAATAACGGCAGTAAGCAGCTGATATGGAAAAAATAAATACCTTTGTTTTACACAGAGAGAAACCTAATTGCTAATTCTAGCAAAAAACCACTACTAGGGCCCAACACAGTAGCCTAGTGGCTAAAGTATTTGCCTTGCACATGCCAAGATCCCATATGTGTGCTCATTCGTTTCCCAGCAGGCCCCACTTCCCACTCAGCTCTCTGCCTGTGTCCTGGAAAAGCAGTTGAGGACAGCACAAAACTCTGGGACCCTGCACCCAAATGGGACACCCAGAAGAAGCTCCTGGCACCTGACTTCAGATTGGCTCAGCTCTGGATACTGCTGCCATTTGAGGAGTGAATCATCAGATGGAAGATCTTCCTTCCTCCTCCCCCTCCTCCTCCTCTTCTCTATATATCTGACTTTCCAATAAAAATTATTTTTTTAAATTCCTAAAATAAAAGCTGTTGAAACTGATTTTAATAGTAAATGATGCAGAATAAATTAAACATTGCATTCATTTTGAACTGTAAAATTTTCTGAATTATAAGCTTACTGTAAATAAAGCATTTTTTTTAAATATACATTTCATTTAAAGATTATTTTGCTGAAAATCTCACTGTCACTTGTCAGTCCTCTATCACTTCATTATCCAAATTTTGTCTCACACTTGCCCTCAGAACTGGGTCCAATAACCGTCCACCGAGGGATCCAAGCTCCTGCCCAGCCCTTGCTCTACCGCCTGCCACCCAGGTTGGGAGCTAGAAATAGTATCTGCTCCTAAAGGGATTTCACAGAGCTCTCTGAACTCTTTCATAGTTTTTATTTATTCTCATCTTTAACTTGGAAAGTAGGGCAACAGATCAAAACAAAGAGAGATCTTCCCATTGGTTCAATCCCCAAATGCCTTCCATCATCAAGGCAAGGCCTGGACTCAACAACTCACCTCAGGTCTCTCGCACGAGCAGTAGAGACCCATGTATTTGAGTCCTCACTGGGTTCTTCCAAGGGTGCACGTTAGCTGAAACCGGATTGTAAGAAGAGCCAGGGGGTCAAACCAGGCATGAAGTAGGGAATGCAGGCATTGCCAGCAGCAGCTTAACACTGCTCCTGCACGGTGCTCCCTGCTTCTCTCCCTCCACTCCAAAGTGGACCGTCAATGAGAGGAGCATCAGCTTGCATGTTTCCTAAGAAACAGCTGACTCAGAGGAGCAGCCAGGACTACATATAATCTCAATATGTGTGTGTAATACCAAGGGTACTGTTTGTTTGGGCAGGCCCAATTTATGCCTGTCACAGCTTCATCATTAAAGTGCCACAGCTTAGAAATAAATAGTCACTCCAGTCATAACCGCACACAGCCTCCCTATTCACTTTGTTATTTCTCAACATCCTTTAAATATTGTCCCCTCTGTGTCACTGGCTTTCAAAAGATGCCAAAGTTCTAATGACAGGATTCTATACCCACCATTTATTTGCACATGATATTCGATAAAGGACTGTTTTTAAATGTGACATGTTTGGTTTATAAATTCTAAACTGCTGCTCAGATTTTTCAAAAAAAAAAAAAAAAGCCATCAGAATACCTTACATCAGACTTAGAAGGTAGTAGTCATACATAGGTTTATAAAAACAAATCACAAACACCTTCTGACTAAAAAAAAGTTTGTTCAATGTCTCAAAGTCAAAATAAAAATTAATAAAGGAGATCCAAGATTAGCAATTTTTAAAAATGAACACCTAAAAGTCAGGTGAATCTAAAAGAATCCAAGCCACCAACAAACAGGAAAAAAAAAAAAAACACTTCACAATTTCATTTTTACAGATGACAAAGGCATGAGTAAGGGTACAGTAGAGGCTCAAGGCGGGAAATGAGTTTTGGACAGATCAATTAAAGCTTTGATAAATGTCATCTAGAAAACACGATGAAATAATGAACACCAGAACGCTTCAGGAGACACTGGCGGTGTCGGAGCAGAGAGCGAGCCAAAACCAGACAACCAGCAGATCCAAACCCTGACTATATTGTGCGTGAAGGAGCAGCCAGCCCTCATTCAGGACTTGCCTTCGAAGAGACTGAGGAAATGAATTCCTGTGCTTTGCAAGTGATCATCGCTGAACGATTAATGGGACACATAATTTGCTTTGTGTCAGAATCAGTGTGGCCCTAGCAAAGATAACTTGCAGAGTCATTCACCAGCTTCAACTGAGCAGCCTGATTGAAACCAGCTGAGTTAATGACATCACCACTGGCTTTCCCTCGCCCCACCTTTTTGTTTTTTACTATAAAAAGGGCAAGCTCTGTGAGGTCAGGAAGCAGAACTAAGCTCTATGAACAGAAGCCTTGGTGGAACCAGCAGAGCCAGGAGAAGTTGAGAGGCGGCCAGACTGATTCCAAGAAGCAGCTAGGATGAGCAATTTGCTTAGACAGCTGCTGAAGAAAAAGACGCACAGTGGAAACTTTCCTATAAGAGCAGGAAAGTGGCTGCTGCTACTCAAGTGAAGTCTCATAAGTGACTAAGCTTTTTCAGATTTTCAATTCTGAAAACTGTGCTAGAACTATTAACATCAACTACAATTGTAATAATATCCTCTCATCTTTTCACTCAATATATATTAACTGAGCACCAAGGTCTATGGTAGCAACCGGGAAAATATTTCTCAGTAGAATCACATCAGTGCATGAATAAAACAGGCAAACCTACTGCCACCTTATACTACATGTTCTCGGGATAAAAAAAAAAAATAAGCATTAAACAAGACACAGCACATCAGTATGCAGCACAGAAAAATATGGGTGAGCTGAGAGTGCAGATATTTGAGTAAAGACTTCAGGAGGTAGAGACAAGATATGTGGGACACACAAGAAGGCCCAGCCGACAGAGGTCACTTCAAATGCAAAGCCCTTGAGCTCTGAATGTGCTTTCTGTGTGAGAAGAATGTCACAGGAGCCAGTGATGCTGACCAGCACAAACAAAAAGAACAGGAATTTAAGTTTAGACAAGTTAATTTAGGCAGCCAAGTGCAGGTGTCAGGTAGGAATAAGCAAATCGGAGACCCACCATGAGAATGGGCAGCATCACTCCTCAAGTCCATTATAAATCAAAGGGAAGAGCATCCCATTAATAAGGTTGAAGAATCGGGAAAACTAGGAAAGAATGGGAAAAATCCAGGGAATGTTCAGGCTGGTACTTGAGTGAAGAAAGGCTTGCATGAAGGGGATGTGATCCACTGTGCAAAAATGTTGGTGCTAAGTCAAGTCAGATGGGCCACAATTACACTTGGTAACACAGAGGTTACTGGAAACCTAGAAAAGTGCAGGTTTTGAAGCAGAAGCAGGAAATATGTTCTGGAAGACTCAAAGTCAAACAAAGGAGAGGAATTGAAGACAAGGTGTATAGACACCTCTTTTCAGGAATTTTGTTCTAAAGACAAGCGCAATAGTGCCTAAGTAAGAACAAGGTGTCTGAAACATTTTGATAGTTTACAACAGTAAAAATAATAGCACGTTTCTGTACGAGTAGGTAAGATCCAGTAAAGAAGGAAAATGATGATGCAGAAAAGAAAACAACTTCCTGGGGCCAGATTCTTGAATACATAAAATCGGGTAAGATCCAGAGCAGCACTGTTGGTCCTTCCCTGTTTGAAATTTATTTAAAGGGCATACATTACAGGGTAAGTTTGTTTCTTTGCATGATTTTATGAAACTAAGACAGCTATGAATAAGGATTCCAGAATGAAAAGGAGTCCCAAAATCTTCTCAAATTCTTGTTATTTAGGCTATGATGCGGCTGATTTGTCACAACAATGAAATGTGCCAATAAGGATGTGGTACAATACTCAGGAATGAACATGCATGTGGTAAACCACACAGCATCAAACTCAGGTGTGAAAAGAAAACTACTGTTTAAGCTTCTTTTTCTACTTTTTTTTTTCAATAATGTTATGTCAATTTTATACAGTGAAAGAAATTATCTTCCCTAAGTAAAGGAAAATGCTGGATTTCACAGAAAAAGGAGAGGCCTGCTACCGCTCAGGAGCCTTTCTATCTTTGCTGGTTTCCCAAATCACAAACAACCAGGCCCAAGAAGCAGACTAGGAAAAGAATCTGCATTCAGCATAAGTACAATTAAACTTCAGAGAGCCTTATAAAAGTATGTGCACATGGGCCCAGCGTGGTGGTGCAGTGGTTAAAGTCCTCGCCTTGCACGCCCAGGATCCCATATGGTGCCGGTTCTATCTCGGAGGCCCCGCTTCCCTTCCAGCTCCCTGCCTGTGGCCTGGGAAAGCAGTCGAGGACGGCCCAAAGCTTTGGGACCCTGCACCCACGTGGGAGACCCGGAAGAGGCTCCTGGCTTTTGGATCGGCTGTTGCGCTCACTTGGGGAGTGAATCATCGGACGGAACATCTTCCTCTCTGTCTCTGCTCTCTGTATATCCGCCTTTCCAATAAAAAAAATAATAAAAATAAATCTTTAAAACAAAAAGTATGTGCACAGAGTTTTCCACAACTGCAAAAACTGGTATTTAATATACCTTCACTTGTACATTTCCCTAGAAGACCTCATCTACACAGCAAAAATATATTACTATCTTCTCATCCATGGGAAGTTTAATATTGTCCTACTGGGCCAGTATTATGGGACAGAAGGAAAAGCCACCAACTGTGAGTCCAGCATCCAATCAGGATGCCAGTTCAAACACAGGCTATTCCACTTCCAATACAGCTCCCTGCTAAATGGCCCGCAGAAAGCAATACACGACAACCCAAGTGCTTGTGTTTCAGCAACCCACAGGGGAGACCTGTATGGAGCTCCTGGCTCCTGGCTTCAGCTGGCTCAGCCCTGGCCTACGCAGGCATTTGAGGAGTGAACAAGTGGACAGAAACTCACGCTCTCCCTATTCCCCTCTTCTCTCACACTCTCACTCTCTCTTTTCCTCCCTTTCTCCCATCTCCCATTGTGTAGCTCTGATATTTTAACAAAAATCATTTTTAAATGCCATGAATAAGTAATTGGGAAAAAAAAACACTAAACCAAGGTCATTTAGATTTGAACTATGAAAACAAATTTGAAGTGGGAATATTTTTGACAATCTATGCCTAGTGAAAGCTATAGCCAAGGGAAGGGGGGAGGGGGAGAAGAAACGTTTTTTCCTCCTCTATCCATAAAAACCAGGATGGCAATGGCGGTTAGCATGGGAGGAATGAGGGTGTACCTCAATAGATTTAGGTACTTAAATCTGTGTGTTGAGTCTTCTCATACGATCGCTTCAAATTGGTACAAGGACATGGAAAATCAGACCTCGAGTTCCCTAAGCTCCATTCTACACATCCAACCCACACTGTCTTCGGTTTGATCTCCGCTCCTGTTTGACTCACACACCTCGTCTTCCTCTCCATCTTTTCTCTAGGTTATAGACCTATGCAGTTTTTAGACAAACTAATTTGCTTCATAAGACCACTAAGACAATTAATTTAACATAATGAATGTTCAGCTCGCTGCCCTTCCCTAATCTGCTGAGGTGCAAGGAACAAAGGAAAGCCCCATTCACCTCAAACCACAGAAACGTGGATGATGGCAGTCTGCGGGGAAATCTTCAATACATTCAACATGGCATTTTAAATAGCCAATCAAACTCTAATGTAAAATCTAACTTTAATATAAAATCAGCAGTCACTATACATGAGTGTGTTTACTTTATACTTTTTATGTTTGCTCTTGACTTCTTTAGTTCAAGTATTACTTGGCTCACGTGTATTTTACAAAAGAGTGATTTTATTATGTGATGCTCGAAGTACATTTAAGCTTTTAAAAAAATTCAAACAAAATCTTTGACATTAATATTTTGTGGTATTCAGATTTCTAAGAAACTTACAGCATTACCACCTTAAAACACCATATTAATTTACATAAAAAGCATGTCATATACTAACTTTTAACATCTAGTTTATTAACAATGCTAAGTAGTACACCAGCTAAGCCTTGGATTCTTCACCTGCACATAGCCCCGGCGCATGTGACTCATGCGGCTGTTTTTCACTGTAATGTGTGTGACTTCTGTCTATACCATTCTGGAAATTATTGGTCACTCCAATTTTAAAATGCAATTTTAAATTGCAACTCAAGGCTGACTGGAATTATTGCAGATTTGCATTTTTTAAAAAGATTTATTCCATTTTTATTGAAAAGTCAAATATACAGAGAAGAGAGATAGAGAGGAAGATCTTCTGTCTGACAATTCACTCCCTAGGTGGCCAGAACAGCCAGAGCTGAGCTGATCCAAAGCCAAGAGCCAGGAGCCTCTTCCAGGTCTCACACAGAGATGCAGGGACCCAAAGCTTTGGGCTGTCCTGGACTGCTTTCCCAGGCCATAAGCAGGGAGCTGGATGGAAAGTGGGGCCTGCTTGGATTAGAACTGGTGCCCATTTGGGATCCCAGTGTGTTCAAGGCTAGGCTACCATGCTGAGCCCCAAGAATTGTAATTTTTTTAAATAACAAATATGGTACAATACAAGTAAATTCACAAAACTACCATGTTTAAGACATATTTTTCATTTGAAAGGCAGAGTTGCAAAGAGGAGAAGGTGTCAGATACAGCTGAACAGAAGAGTCTAGCTGATTCACTCATTTATGGCCACAAACACCAGGCTGAAGCCAGAGTGAAGCCAGGAGCCAGGGGCTTCAACCCAGGTCCCCAACTGTGGGAGTCAGGGAGCCAAGGACTTGAGCCATCTTTCATTGTTTTCATGGGTGCATCAGCCTGGAGGTGGACTGGGAGATAAGTAGGTTGGACTCAAACCAATGTTCACATGGGATGTCAGCATCAAGGCAGTATCTTAATCCACTGTGCCATAATGCTAACCCCAAAACAAGCCTATTTTAAATTTAGAAAATCAGGGGTTGGGAGGAATAAATAAAGACTTCCTTTGAGTAAATGTGGCAGACAACTCTTGAGACTGCTTCATGGCACATACTGCTCCTTCTCTGGGAGCTGTCAGCAACTCTCCTGTATGTGGACAGCAATTCTGCAAACGCTGCCTGCTGATGACTGATGTGAGGGTTGCGCCTGTGTGAAGACAACAGCTCCTCTCCACCTTGAATCCTCCCCTGCCCCCCAGCCCCGCAGCCCTGAAACCGTGGGAACATCATAGCTCCTGCCTGCCCTTCCCTAGACAGACAGAGCTGTTATTCCCAGGAGTTCTTTAAAAGCCAAGGAAAAAAAAAAGATTAAGATGAAATAAGATGTAAAATAAACTTTATTAACTGAACTAACCATACTGCAAGTGCTCATAGTCATATCTGACTGACTACTGGTTACTAAGGGGACAACCTAGAAATTTGGAATATTTCCATCACCAGAAGAACTTCTGTTGGACAAGGATACCCAGCCTCATCCAATGAACTTCCTCCTTATAAAACTCCTTGGATCAGAATTTGACTTACATATATTTGTTTTTGTTTGCACCCCTGAAATTCTAACATCAGGAAGTATAAAACTCACTTTTTAAAAATCTTTTAAGGGATTTCTGGGTACTCTGAAGAATTTTTTTTTTAAGATTTAGTTATTTTTATTGGAAAGTCAGATATACAGAGAGGAAGAGAGACAGACAGAAAGATCTTTCATCCAATGATTCACTCCCCAAGTGACCACAAGGCTGGTGCTGCGCTGATCCAAAGCCGGAAGCCTGGAGCTCTTCCAGGTCTCCCACGCAGGTGCAGGGTCCTAAGGCTTTGGGAACGTCCTTGACTGCTTTCCCAGGTCACAAGCAGGAAGCTGGATAGGAAGCAGGGCCACCAGGATTAGAACCGGTGACTATATGGGATCCCGGCACATTCAAGGTGAGGATTTTAGCTGCTAGGCCACGCTGCTGGGCCCTACTCTGAAGAATTTTAAATGCTGGCATTAAGGCTACATCAAAATTGAAAACTTCACTTTCACTATTTTTGGACTCATCCTCAGTCATGGAATCACGGAATTCACGAGCTTGGAAAATCTTACCAAGTATCTAATTCAATTTCCTGGTTTTGTTTTGTTGTTGTGCTGTTGTTGTTGTTGTTCTTTTCTTTAACTCAGGAAGACAGATCCAGAAAGTTGTAACCAGCTTTTGTTTCTAAACAGTAACTAAATTTGGCTTAATAGACTAACACAAATATGATAGAAACTAAAATGCAATATACAACTTTAAAAATCTTATGATTACACAAGTAACAAAGCATGAAGTTTAAATATTTATTTACCCAACAAGCTGTTACTACATCAATTCCTTCCCACTCCCTATCCTCACCACTCTTTTCTATTTATTTTGTAAAGTGCTTTTGCCATGGTTACCATTGTTTTCAATGCCATAGTTCTCCATATCTAAAAAGCACAGAAACATTCTGTACTTTGAAGTCAGGCAGCAAATACAAGATTTAGTGTAATTTTTATTTTCAAGAACTTTTATGTTCAAACCTTACACGTGAGTAGCCATCTCTATAGACGGCAATCTGGATAGCTGAGATGCTCTTTAACTTACTTCTTTTAAACAAACAGTAACCAAACACCATTTAAACTACTTAGATTAAAATGCCATACCTGTTCATCACCAGATTTTAAACTTGCTGAAACAAATTATGTCAGTATCTTGATAGAGTAACACATTATTTCTAAACACTTTCCGCTCCCTTGCCCACCCACCAAAAAAAAAAAAAAAACAAAGAAAGAAAAATGTAACATCATAAACACAAATACTGACACAAAACAGGACTCTGACTGAACTTGTACTCAACTATCACATGTTACCCTTCCAGCATACAAAGTGCACAAATTTTCTTCAAGGAAACACAGAATATTGTTCTATTTTTAGTCTAAAGTGCATTTTAAAACCATTCTACTTTACTTATTTTCTTGAAATCAAATGTTGCCAAATATTAGGAAAGGAGTTTATAACCTCACAACCATCCCTTCTAATAAACTATTTATACTTATTCCCTCTGTAAATTTGTATTTAATATGACTAGTCCAGAAGAAATGGACTGCAGTAGTTATGATGCCAACACATACCAAATCACTGAAAACCTGTATTTTTCTATGGTTTTTCCTTTCTTAAGTGCAAATTAGGAAAGATTTCCCCTTGCTTACACCACATCACACACACCAAATGGACCTATCTTTTAAAAACAATTGACATGCATTACAAAGAATTAAACAAAACTATTTCCTTTCCCTTTTCCTGCAAATTCTGCGTGGTTCTA